CTGTCCAACAGGGCCAGAGATTTGACGCCGTTGATGTCGCACGAGACCGTGCGAGTGCACACCGTAGCAATTTTTTCGTCGACTTCCACGGCCGCACCCATAACCTTGCGCTTGGTCTCGTCCTTCTTGTCCGGCGCTGCCACCGCAGCGCCATGCGATTTCTTGAACCGCTGTTCCAGCAACCGTTGCGCCTCGCCCGGCTGCACCTTGGGGCATCATAACACCTTGTGTTCCACGCTGCCGCACTTCAAACAGCCCTTGGCTGGCACAGCCGGGGCCGCCGTCTTGGTCGTCGCCCTGTCGTCGGGTCTCTTCGACGGCGCGTGTCGCCGTGTCTTGTCGCCATACTGGCGAGGCGGATTTGACTCCGCTTTCTTCTCCACCGATATGAGTTGCGACTCGAACAGCATGAAAGTGTCCAACAACGTCACAAGCCACGTACAGAACGCACGCACGTCGGACTTCAACGCCTTTATCGTCTCGCGCATTAACTGTCGCTCGACAGTCGCCTTCAGATGCGGCGGTCGAATCGCAGCGGTCAATATCTTGACCGACTGCTTTGGCTCTTGCTCGTGCAAGTGCGCAACGTCCAGTTGTTCCAACTTCTCGTAGAAGTCGGCCAGCAGTCTTCCCACCCGAGACTCGGCGTTTCGGATCTTCGTGTCCATCTTCAGCGACGTCATCGCTTTGGACACCGCGTCTAGGCCCAACTCCTGCACCTCGCGTGCAGACAGTAAGTAGTCGCGCCAGTCGTTCTCGGTGAATTCTTCGAACGGCTTTCCAAAGTCGTGTGCGCACACACGTGGCACAATCTTTTGGTCGATGCACGCCGCCAGCGGCATCAAAAACAGCGTGCCGCCCATGCCGCTGTTGAGGACTTGAACTCGCCGCGAATAGGCGAGATATTCGTCCATGAACTCACAACGCTCGCGCTTCGTGCTTCCTCTGTACATCGGTGCCATAGGCATCTGTTGCACACCCATGAGGTTTTCGGCACGCGTTAAAACAGGCGCCGTCGCCTGTGCCGCTTGTGCCGATCGTTGATTCGCTGCTTCAGCGAATAGACCCCATCGCTTGCTGTCACGGCGAGCCTTGTGGTTCAGCTATTCTACCTTATAGTGTTGCTGGTGCATCACGTCCGATGCTTGTCGGAGCATATCTAGGTGCGCTTCTAAGACTCTGGCTTGCTCAGTCATCGCTCTCTTCAGCTCCTCGTGCTAGCGCACCAACTCCTCTTGCTCTCGCGATAGAACAGCTCGCGACTCTTCTTGTTCCTGGCGATTCTTCTCCATCGCCGCTGCCATGGCCAGTTGTCTAACCGTTTCTTCTTCCAGACGTTGCGCCATGGAACTTTGCTGCGCATGGAACTGCGCCAGCTGTTCGAAAGTCATCTGGTTGAAATGACTCGAGGTCGCAGCAGCGCGCTCCACACTCTGCATCCGTAGCTCGTCCATCTCCGCTTGGGTCGGCGGAGGTAAAGGCACGGCCACCACGGTCTTTATCGACCGTGTACGTGACACACGAGCCAGCGAGCTCGTGAACAGTAAACCTTCTTGTTCCATTCTTGAACGACAAGTAGCAGGCTGCTACTAAAGAATTCTTTGTTGCGAAGTCCCTATCCAAAGGCAAATCACGAAGTAGATTCCCCCAGTGGCAAGCAGCCACTGGG